TCAGTACCGCATCCCAGCACCTGGCGCCATACCTAGCATGGGGAAATCCATCTCTCCTTACCTGTCCCCAACAGTCACTGTGGGTAGAATCCGGATTCCCTCCCACATGGATAGGAGAGGAGTGAAGCATTCCTCAAAATAAGCCAAGTCCCTCTTCTAAAATAAGAGGTGCTAAGAAAAAAGGAGAAAAAAAGTCAACCATATATATTTCATTTATGTGTGTGCATATATGCACACACACACGTGCACATGCGCGCGTGCACACACACATATAAAATGTTTCACAATGCTTTAATTTATTGAAAGCATTTTTAGCCCAATACATTGTTCACTACAAATGTGTATATTTCCACATATTGAGACTCTGATTCAACATTTTGATAAGCTCTTTGCAATTTTCCCACCTGGTAACCGATTTACTTTGCTTTAATAAGACATATTACTAAAATACTATACATCCCTTAACCATAAATGCTGTTTTTTCTCTTTTGCTATGTGAAATAATGATATATATATCTTGTCTTTATCTGTGGTGAATGTTAGGATATGACAGCTGTATTTGTTTTTCATGATGCAAGTGAATGATAACATCTCACACACTGATATATTCCATCCTTTCTACACACAGTTATGTTGCTACATTATTTCAGCTTGAAAATATGAATATTGGGACAACAGCTGCTTTAATTCCAGAGGATGTTCTGCCTCATCAACCAATAATCTTACTCAAAAGATGAAAAAATAGAGACAGAAAAATAAATATTCCTAAAACCTTTCAAAGCCAAATAAACAAGCTGTAATTCCTGAATACCCATCAGTTGTGAAGACATTGTAAAAAGATTGCTTTTGTTAAGGTGCAAGACACAGGAACTCTCATGAAATTAAAATCTGTTAAAGTAAGAATTCTCATGGAGTTGTTGCTACAATTATGTTCCTGACACACAAAATGCCTCACCCACACTCTCAAATTTGGATAACTTACATAAGGAAAACACAAATTGAACTAAAATGTTTTGGGTGGTAGGTAATAGAATGTTTGGGGACGGTGCTTTGTTTTGTGGGAGTATAACTTTAAAGGGACCTAGAAGATCTTATCTCTCCTTAGAAAAACATGCACACTAGGCCTGAAGCAGCGATTTATGCTGTGACAGAATATGTTTTTGACACAAAAAGAAAATACTTGTCAAAATGCTAGCTACAAAGGTAGCTCTTCTGGGTACTTTAACGGGAATGGGGAATACCAGACGCTCATCAGTCAATGCCATATCTGACATAAATAATGATAGAAAACTGACAGCTACAGGAGGTGACTCAGATGCCTCAAGCTCCAACAAATCAAAAGGCAAGAGGTATCAATTTTGCATTTAGTAATAATTTTGTGTAATGTAATTGAACTTCTATTCATTGCAACAAACCTTATAATAATTGTATTAGTAATCCGTGAGTCACATCATGAATAACACCTTTCATCGAGTACTTATATATCTAAGTATAGGTTCAACTCTGCTTCTAAATTGGGTTCAATTTGGCACTATAGAAGAACAGATTTACTCTTCCATCTTCTGTCTTTTATGAGTAATTTTATATTTTAAATGGACAAAGAAAAATGGGGGAAACATGAGGCAATTGATGATGGTGAATTTTAGCTGGTCATGGTCCATAGATATGAACACTAATTTTGGAAGGCATGACTCCTCTTCTGAAACCACAAATAAAAATAGTATACTTTCACAAAAAAATAAGAAATTTCTATGCTAAATGGACTTGAGAAAATCAAGGCACCACAAAATAGATTTTTCTGAAGGCTCAATTTGATTCTGAACTAAATATTTTCTAATTTGTATAAATCAACTACCCAACTCTACTCCAAATTATAGGTTTTCCCACTTCAAGTTTATTCCTGCAGGTTGAAATTTGTGGCAAAATCAGTGTGGTTTCCTATATCCACATTATTGACCCCTGACCTCAAAGCATCTCCAGAGGCAACATTTTAGAGGATCAAATATTGTAAACTTGTGACTGCATGCCAAGGTTTCTCTTTTTTTTTAATCTTCATTTCAGAGATAAACAAAAACTGTTGGGCTATCCTTCCGTAGGCAAAGCATAAGCCTAGATCTCCATGCATTGTCTCATGTTTATTTGAATGTCTTTTTTTCTAGAGTACTTTTACCATCCATTACAAGGATAGGCAATATACTCTCACCTAATCTTTGTTTCTGAGTTCATAATTTTTCTAGCATCTTTCCCAATCCTCTTAACTTGGAGTGGCCATGTGAGGGCTACAGCAAGGGAGCAATCTTTTCTTTTTCAACTCCCACCCTCACTTTGCATCTGGTGCTGGGACTCTGAGGTCCTAAAGTAAGCAGAAGATGGGTACACTAGGATCTAGTTGAGTCCATGAATGGATATGTAGAATGATGCCCAGATTCCATGAGTATGAGAGATGTTAATAAATTCGCATCATGCAATGCTGCTGAGATTTGAAGATCTCTACATTCCAGCAGCTAGAGTTACCTCCCATAATACAGATTCCCTGCTCCTAAATCTAGTTTGATAGCATCAATAAAGTTAGATAAAGTTAGGAAAAACTTGAAGCTTCTCATTAAGCATGGAGAGATGGTTCCATGCTTAAAGCAATTTCACCACATGCAACAAACATGAGGATCTAATTGGATCCCCAGAACCCATGTAAATGCCCAGGTGTGACTGGTGGACTGCCTGCAATTCTAAAGCTAGGGAGGCAGAGAGGAGGGATGCTCAGAGCAAGCTGGGTAGCTAGACTAGCCTGTACATATGTTCTGGATTCACACATAAGAACACAGATATACACGTCCATGCACACAGCACCCAAATATGCATGGAAAAGAAAAATTATGTGTTGCAGTATTGGAGACCTCCAACTGAAAGTTGTGAGAGGCTCATAGGTACATGGTTTATAAAGCAGAAATGAGGGTATCCATTTTTTTTTATAATGATTAACTATTGCAGTAACGGTTTCTAAGCAGCAGGAGATTGGTTAAAAGTGATTGTCTTAAGCCATTTCAGGGAAATGGCGTACATTTTATGATTGTTTTCCTTGTGGTTATGAGAAGCATTCATAAGAAATCACCTAAAATCACTTATATTCCACTTATTCAGCCGTAAAGAAGAGCTAAATTGTGTTCTTAGAAAGAAAATGGATACAATCAGATATTATCATATTAAGCAAAATAAGTCATACTTAGAAAGACAAATATTGCATGTTTTCTCTTACTTCCAGATCCTAGCTTTTTCATAAAATTATGTGCACGACATGAAAGTAGAAGTTAAATTGCCTAGTGGACACAGGGCTCTAAGGGAGTAGCGGGAGGGCTAACAAAGTTAAGTGGGTGGGCATGGTGAAGGTGATCAATGTCCATTATGTACTTGGGTGAAAAATACCCTCTGAGACCCAGTACCATGTACAATGAATATACACCAAAAAAAAACCAACCCCTGCATTCCAAACAATCAAACTTGGGTTATTTTCTACTACTTGAACTAGCTAGTTTTGTCTGCTTGAAAAATTCTCATAACTCATCATTGTTTTATTTCTTTATTTTATATTTTTATTTTTAATGATCACAAGGGGTTTAAAAGTGACAGTTTGAATGATATTATTCAGGAGATGTTACCTAACTTCTTCCTCCAACCATGAGGGGACCATACCTACTGGTGTTGTGTGTCTCCCATGGCATTAGTCTGTTGTCCTTTACTGTAACAAAACATCTGAAAGGCCTAAGGAACAATTCTGAAGATCCTAGAGTGTGTCTGTACAGCTCTGCTATGGTGAGTACTTCATGGTAGGGATCATCGCCACAACAAACCCACAAAGAAGGGAGAGGTCAAAGTTCATCACAGAGTGTCAGATAATGTTCAAGACGTCAGAGTCAGGCTCACTCTTCCAGCAACTCATTCCCAAAGGGTGTCAGTGACGCTTTCCTAATGACACAGAGACTTCTCATCTGGATCCACCTCTCAAAAGTCTCACTTCTCAATAACAGTACACTAAGGACAAAGCTCTGAAAGACATGAAACCGGGGACCGTGCAGCATACAGTGTCTAGGGTCCACCTCACTCTGTCCAATATAGGGCACCTGCAAGCCCCTATTATGAATGTCATTGTCTGGCTCCACAGACAACTGCCTGTGAAAACAGAGCCAATGCTACATGTTTGTGTTTGGTATTGTTTCTTTGGGGTTTTTGTTTGTTTGTTTTGTTGTTAAACTTGATTGCATTACACTTCTTTTTTTTTTCTTATTTTTCCTCCCCTCCTCCCGTGCCCTCCCCCAACCCCCCTATTATCCCCTCATTTCCCCAGGGAGTGTGAGGCCCTCCATGGGGGTGTCCATAGTCTGTCATTTCATCCAGGGCAGGGCCTAGACCCTCCCCCAAGAGTTCAGGGTGAGAGTGCACCTCACATTGTTGGTTGGGAGTCCTAAGTCCGTGTGTATACTCGGGATGAGTAGTGATCTACTGCCCAAGGCTCAATAAATTACCTAGGCCTCCTCACTTACACTCACATTCAGGAGGTCTTGATCCGTCCCATGCTGGATTCAAAAGTTAACCTTTGTCAGGTCAGCTGTTTCTGGGGGTTAAACCAGACCAGTCTTAATCCCTTTGGTCATCAGTCCTCCCTCTCTGTTACTGGCTTCTTGAGTTCAGCTCAGTGCTTAGCCATGGGCTGCATTACACTTCTAACAATAAGCACATGCTGGAGAGTTGGTTCAGAGGTTAAGACCACTGCCTGCACTCCCAGAGATCCTGAGTTCAATTCCCAGCAATCACATGGTAGTTCACAACCAACCATAATGAGAGCTGATGCCCTCTTCTGGCTTGCAGGGATACATGCAGGCAAACTCTGTATATATAACTTGTTAAAAAAAAAAGTAAAGTATTAAGTCTTTGCCAACTATAACAATAAGCCCTAAGATGACTGCCTAAGTTGACAAGGTTTTTTTGTTTTGTTTTGTTTTTTATAGCTATGCAGACATAGTCAAGAGAGGACTCAAGACACAGACTTCCTGGGTTGAAATATCTTCTACTTATCTATCATCTAGTAATAACCTGAGTGAGTTGAACTATTTTTGGTTGGAGAGGGAAGACAGATATTATATATAGTTTTGAAGAGTTGTTGAGACTAATTAAATTTGATAACGAATAAACATTAGTTTTGGTTGTTAGCTTGTAGTAATGGGCTATCTGATATATCTTTTTATTTAAATTAGAAACAAGCTTGCTTCACATGTCAATCCTAGATCCCACTCTCTCCCCTCCTCTCCCATCCCACCATGAGATCCCCAGCCCCCCACCCAGTCTCCACTCCCTTCCTCAGGGAGGGCAGAGCCCTCCATAGGGGAACTGCAAAGTCTGTCATTTCATTCAGCACAGAACCTAGGCCCTCCCCCAAAAGTCAAGGCTGAGAAAGCATCCCTCATTGTGGGATGGACACCCAAAGTCCAGTTGTATACCAGGGATAAAAACTGATCTACTACGCAAAATCCCATAGATTGCTGAGGCCTCCTCACTGATACCCACATTCAGGAATTCTGAACAAGCCCCATTCTGGCCTCCCAACCATCAGTCTGGCGTCCAAGAACTCCTCCTTTTTCAGGTGATCTGATTCTGTGGGTTAATGAAGCATAGTCTTGCTCATAAGTCCTCACTCTATGTCACTGGATCCCAGGAGTTCAGTTCAGTGACTGGATCCCAGGAGTTCAGTTCAGTGTTTAGCTGTGGGTGTCTGTTCCTGCTTCCATCAGTCACTGGATGAAAGTTCTGTTTCCCAGGCTCTCTAGCAGTGGGATTATAGGCTGGAACTCCCATGATCCATCTCTAAAATCCATATATGAATAAGTACATACCATGTTTGTCATTTTGTGGCTGGGTTACCTCACTCAGGATGGTTTCTTCTAGTGCCATCCATTTGCCTGCAAATTTCAAGATTCCATTGTTTTTTTCTGCTGAGTAGTACTCCATTGTATAAATGTACCACATTTTCTCTATCCACTCTTCAGTTGAGGGGCATCTAGGTTGCTTCCAGGTTCTGGCTATTACAAACAATGCTGCTATGAATATAGTGGAACAGATGGTCCATGTTGTATGAATGTGCATCTTTTGGGTATATGCCTAAGAGTGGAATTACTGAAGCAATCTCCCTACCGATTTCCAAAGTGGCTGTACAAGTTGGCACTCCCACCAGCAGTGGAGGAATGTTCGCCTTTCTCCACATTCTCCCCAGCATAAACTGTCATTGTTGTTTTTTATTTTAGCCATTCTGACAGGGGTAAGATGGGATTTCAGAGTTGTTTTTATTTGCACTTCTCTGCTGGCAGAGATGTTGAACACTTTTTTAACTGTCTCTAAGCCATTTTAGACTCCTCTTTATTTAGTTCTGTAGCCCACTTTTTAATTGGATCCTTTGGTGTTTTGGAGACTTGCTTCTTGAGTTCTTTGTAAATTTTGGAGATCATCCTCTGTCAGATCTTTTCCCATTCTGTGGGCTGCCTTTTTATCTTGTTGACTGTGTCCTTTGTCTTACAGAAGCGTCTCAGTTTCAGGAGGTCCCATTTATTAATTGTCAATCTCAGTGTCTGTACTACTGGAGTTATGTTCAAGAAGCAGTCTCCTATACCAATTTGTTCAAGGGTACCTCCCACTTTCTCTTCTAAGAGTTTCAGTATGGCAGGATTTATGTTGAGGTCTTTGATCCATTTGGACTTAAGTTTTGTGCATGGCAATAGACATGGATCTATCTACAGTCTTCTACATGCCAGAATTCAGTTATTCCAGCACCATTTCTTGAAGATGCTTTCTTTTTTCCATTGTATAATTTTAGCTTCTTTGTCAAAGATCAGGTGTTCATATGTGTATGGGTTGACCTCGGGTTGTTCAGTTTGATTCCATTAGTCCATCTATTTTTGTGCTAATATCAAGCTGTTTTCAGGACTATAGCTCTGTAATACAGCTTGAAGTCAGGGATGGTAATGCCTTCAGATGTTGCCTTGTTGAACAGGGTTGTCTTGGCTATCCTGGGTCTTTTGTTTTTCCATACAAAATTGATTATTGTTCTTTCGAGGTCTGGGAAGAATTGTGCTGGGATTTTAGTGGGGATTGTATGGAATCTGTAGATTGCTTTTGACAAGATTGCCATTTTTACTATGTTGATCTTACCTATCAAGGAGCATGGGACATCTTTCCATTTTCTGGTATCTTCTTTAATTTCTTTCTTTAAAGACTCAAAGTTCATGTGATACAGGTCTTTCATTTGTTTGCTTAGCATTACCCTAAGGCATTTTATCTTGTGTGTGGCAATTGTAAAGAGTGATGTTTCTCTGATTTCTTTCTCAGCCCATTTGTCATCTGTATATAGTAGGGCTACTGATTTTCTTGAGTTGATCTTGTATCCTGCCATTTTGCTGAAGGTTTTTTTAGGTCACTTATGTAAACTATCATATAATATGCAAATAGTGAGAGTTTGAACTCTTCCTTTCCAATTTGTATCCCCTTGATCTCTTTTTGTTGTCTTATTGCTTTAACTAGAACTTCAAGTCCAATATTGAAGAGGTATGAAGAGAGTGGACAACATTATCTTATTCCTGATTTTAGAGTAATTGCATTGATTTTCTGTCCATTTAGCTTGATGTTGGCTGTTGGTTTGCTGTATATAGCTCTTATTATGTTTAGGCATGTTCCTGTTATCCCGGATCTCTCCAAGACCTTTATCATGAAGGAGTGTTGGATTTTGTCAAAGGCTTTTTCAGCATCTAGTGAAATAACCATGTGATTTTTTTTGTTTTTTAGTTTCTTATGTGGTGGATTACATTGATAGATCTTCGTATGTTGAACCATCCTTGCACCCCTAGGATGAAACCTACTTGATCATGGTGGATGATTTTTCTGATGATATGTTCTTGGATCTGATTTGTCAGTATTTTATTGCATATTTTTGTGTCAATATTCATGAGGGATATTGGTCTGAAGTTCTCTTGCTTAGTTGTGTCTTTGTGTGGCTTAGGTATCAAGGTTATTGAAGCCTCATAAAAAGCGTTTGGCAAAAACCCTTCTGTTTCTATTTCATGGAATACTTTGAGGAGAATTGGTATTTTGATCTTTGAATTTCTGATTTAATCTTGGCAATTGATATCTCTCCAGAAAATTGTCCATTTCCTTTAAATTTTCGAATTTTGTGGAGTACAGGTTTTCAAAGTATGACCTGATGATTCTCTGGATTTCCTCATTGTTCATTGTTATGTCCTCTTTCCATTTCTGATTTTGTTAATTTGCATGTTCACACTCTGCTGTTTCAAAAGTTTGGATAAAGGTTTGCCTATCATGTTGATTTTCTCAAAGAACCAACTCTTCATTACATTGATTCTTTGTATTGTTTTCCTAGATTCTACTTTATTGATTTCAGCCCTCAATTTGATTATTTCCTGCTATCTACTCCTCCGGGGAGAATTTACTTCCTTGCGTTCTAGATCTTTCAATTTTGCTGTTATTTCTCTTATGTGACTATTTTCCAGTTTCTACATGTGGGCACTTAGTGCTAGGAACTGCTTTCAAAGTGTCTCATAAGTTTATGTATGCCGTGTCTTCATTCTCATTGAATTCTAGGAAATCTTTAATTTCTTTTTCTTCCTTGACCCAGGAATGATGCAATTGCACATTGTTCAATTTCCATGAGTTATTAGGGTTTCTGCAATTTGTGTTGTTGTTGAATTCTAACTTTAACGCATGGTGTACTGATAAGATACATGGAGTTATTCCAATTTTTTGTACCTGTTTGATATGTTGCCAAGTATGTGGTTGATTTTTGAGAAGGTTCCATGTGGCTCTGAGAAGAAGGCATATTCTTTTGTATTTGGATGGAATGTTCAATAGATATGTGTTAAACCCAATTGGGACATAACTTCTATTAGTGCCTTTGCTTCTTTGTTAAGCTTCTGTCTGGTGGTCCTGTCTAGTGGTGAGAGTAAAGTGTTGAAGTTTCCAACTATAAATGTGTGAGGTTTTACATGTGCTTTGAGTTCTAGTAGTGTTTCTTTAATGAATGTGGATGCCTTTGTATTTAGAGCACAGATGTTCAGGATTGAGACTTCATCTTGGTGGATTTCTCCTGTGATGAATAGGAAATGACCTTCTTCATCACTTTTGACTGATTTTAGTTTTAAGTTTAATTTGTTAGATATTAGGATTGCTACCCCCACTTGTTTCTTGGGTCCATTTGATTGGAAAATCTTTTCCCAACCCTTGACTCTAAGGTAATGTCTGTCTTTGAAGCTGAGGTGTGTTTCTTGAATGCAGCAGGATGTATTTTTGTCTTCAAATTTGTTCTATTAGCCTGTGTCTTTTTATGAACAAATTAAGACCATTAATATTGAGGGATATTAATGATCGCTGATTGTTCATTTTTGTTTTTTTGGAGTTGGTGGTGGTGGTGGATTTGTGTGTGGATTTTCACCCCTTTTTTCTTTTTGCTGTTGGTAAAGTGGGATTATCTATTGTCTACATTTTTCTGGTTGTACTTAATTTTCTTGGGTTGCAGTTTTCCTTCCAGAACTTTCTATAGGGTTGGATTAGTGGACACATATTGTTTAAATATGGTTTTGTCATGGAATATCTTGTTTTCTCTATCTATAGTGATTGAAAGCTTTGCTGGGTATAGTACTCTGGGCTGGCATCCGTGATCTCTTAGTGTTGGTAGAATATCTATCCAGGACATTATGGCTTTCAGAGTTTACATGGAGAAGTCAGGTATAATTCTGATAGGTTTGCCTTTGTATGTTACTTGACATTTTTCCTTAGCTGCTCTTTGATAGGGAAGTCCTGTATATATGTAAATAAAGCACTGTTGGCCAATAGGGAAGCAAGATAGGTGGGACCAGGAGTCTAGGAGGATTTTGGGAAATGTAGTGAAGGGAGATATCTCCATGTGATTCCTGGGAAGAGGGGATGAAAGTCCGTGCTCTTGGAAAGATAAATCTTTATAAAAATATATATTAGTGATAAAGGGTCAATAGTTAAGTCAGAGCTAGCCAATGAAAAACAAAACATCTTCATAATTAATAT